AGAATTTTATTTCAAATTATTATTATTATTTTTTTGTTGTTGCATGTCATCAATTTATTAAATTTAAATTAGTATTTACTTAAAAGATTACTTACTTCATCAGTTAAAGAAGAATATTAATAACATTGTTTTAAATTTCTATTCATAGTATTCATAACACTTTCCATCTAATAAATGTCATTTTCTATCCATCTTCTTGCAGTCATCTCGATCTAGTTATATATATAAAACAGATCTAGTTATATATATAAAACATCAATGAAATACGACATGTCTCATGCCCAATAGGAAGAAGAGAAATATCTTCTTTAGGGCTTGACGTTGGATAACTTTAAATTAAAATCGAGGAAAAAACATTTATGAAGAAGCGAAAATTGTGCATTCTAAAAAAAGGAAAATAGCAACAAAAAAAAAAGTGCTCCTTACAAGAGGAAAATAGCTATTATAATTAAACATACTTCAAAATATTTTTTTCAATTAAAAAAAATTTAATTATTACTCGAGTACTTTAATTTGGTTACTTGCGTTGTTATTACTTGATTATTCTCAAAATAGAAAGAAAAAAAAAGCGCTGGACTGAATTTTTCTAAATCAAAATTAAGTTTTTGTTTTTTTTAAGTCAAAGATTACTGCCACGCAAGTTGTTATGGATTGCTCTGAAGTCATATTAAAAAAAAAAAAGACAACTTTTTGGAAAACATAGTAAATAACTCTTTATACATAAAACTTTTCTTTTATAGGATAATCTTTAAAAGTAGTGAAACATATTTTCTTATTTTTACTTCTAATGGTTCCCTAAATCAACTCATATATAATTATAAATTAATTTAATTTAACTTGTATTTTGGTAGTTCAACTTTTAAAAGGAGTATTTTAGTCTATAAATTTTAAAATGAAATTATTGCTATAAAATTTTAAATGTATTTCATTTTAGCCGTTTGAACTAAAAAGATAAAAAGAAAACGAGAGGACCCAAAATTTGGCTTACACTCCAACGAATACGTAATAAAGTCCAAGTTATAAATGAATACAGAAGTTGAAAATGACTTGTGGGTGAGTTTCGATATCAGGCAATATAAACATGATAATGGGAAAGATAGATGAGTTAAAATTGTTCACCATCTTCTTTCTTCTGGTTCCCATTCATATGTAATAGACGACACCCATTGACTTTACCAAATTTCATTTCTAAAATCTTTTCCTTCCTTAGTATTTATAATATGTCCAAAACCATTTCGCAAAGTCCATTGTTTTATTATTGCACAACTTTAGGATTCAAGCTACAATTTTATAAAACATGATTGGAAAGAAAACCAAAAAAGAAAAAAGAAAGAAAGAAATCACTGTCAAAGGGGGACGTTTCTTTAATTACAGAAGGGTAGAAAAGGACGGGTTTGAAAATTAATATATATATATATATATAAGAAAAAACGATAGAAGAAAGGTAATAAAATGTGGTCCAAGTGGGAGGTGAAACATTGAATGAAAAGTTTCCTTCTTTGGAGTTAGTGGTGATATATGCTTGCTTATAATGTACACATATAATTGCATAATTTGGGGTAGATTTGATTAATGTAGTGAGTTTGGTCAACAAGTGGTTATAAATTTAAATAGTTATAATGCATGGTTGAGAGATGAGAGAAGGATATTATCATAATGAATGAAAGAAATTAGATAGGTATCTATGAGAAGCAATTCCTTTACACAAAGTGGGTGGAGAACCCACCTACATACCCATACCCATACCCCTACACTACCATTTTTGTGGTCCTTACTCTCTTTATTTATTTATTTATTTTTTGCAAAGGAGAAAGGACATCATCATCATCATCATCCTTTAATATAATTAATTTACTCTCTAACTTGGTTTTCATGTTCCAAACATACTCTTCTTTTTTTTCTTCTTAAATGAACAAAATTTGGAAATTTTAATATTTGTTTTTAGTTGTTTCATGAAATTAAGCTGTGATTGGGTCATGAAGACTATTGTTTTGTTGGGTAGAAGAAGAATGAGAGTGTGAAAAGAGAAAAGAGAGAAAAGAAAGATGGTTAAGGGTACAGAGGTCAGAGAAAGTGACTGGGCGAGGAAAGAAGAAAAGGGAAATGAGAGTGAATTTGGTTGGGAAGCGAAAGGGCATCAGCCATGAAATGCCATAAAAGGAAAGAGTGGAACACCCATTTCCAAACTCTGGAGCGGAGCCGCGGAAACGACACCCAACCACACAACTCTGTCTCACTAAACTGTGAAAGCGATCTATCACTCACACTCACAAATACATTATTTACCGATTCAAATAACTAAAATTAAACCCATCCCATTCATTCTTCATCTTCATTTAAATATCATATATCAATTAAGCATTCCCAACTGTCAATAATATCCCATTTATGGAAACCACCCACTTCCCCTTCCCCCTCACTTCTTCATCTAAACCCAGCCCACCATTTTTCTTTTTATTACGTGCAGCTAGCAATGCAATGGGACAATAATTTTCAACGCTAGACCTAAAGACTCATAGGGGCGTAGGAGATGGGTAGAGTGAGATTTTTAAATCTGTGTACATCTGAGGTTTTTGCAGTGTTCCATAGATTCGATGCAACCCCCCCAAAAAAAAAGTATCTAAGAAGAAGTTAGTACTTAGTAGGAGATAGAGAGAGAGAAAGCTGGGCATGACATTATGTTTTGCTTTTGTATAGGCTAAATAGAGAGAGAGAACAAAAAAATAAATAAATAAAGAAGAGGAGAGTACAGTTTGTTCCGTTTGATAAAAAATCACACAAGAGAAAGAGAAAGAGGGTGTACTGTTGCTATAGCCAGACGCGTGGAATATGCTACTACGGAGATGGACCACCCCTTTCTAAAATCTAAAATAAATCAATAATGTCATTACCTCGTTAAAAGAAAATTTGAATCTATACCTCTACATATTGTACTAAAAAAACAAGCAAACAAATGTATACATTTAACTCCTACTCCTCCTTTCTACCTTCTAATTTATTGTTCATTTTAAATTTAAAACGAAAGGACACAATCATATCTCAAATCCATTGGTTGACTATTTAAAAAAAAAACCCACAAATGGCAGGATGTGGTGCTTACCTTTTCAGAGTTCAGAGTTCATATATTATATAAATCAAACAAATGGATTTAATTAATGAGTGATGACGGTCCGAGTGACGAAATTGCGCCCAATATTATATCCATTTCTACCGAACTTTACAAAAAATATATATATCTACTGGCTTTTGGTTTGAATAATCACATGTTGTCTTCCAAGTAATAAAAAATTGAACCAAATTGATTTGTTCTTTTTTTTTTCTTTCTTTGGTTTGGGATTTAATTAGACTATTCATTCATATGGATCGTATTATTTGACAATGTTTGTTTCCTCGTATGATCTCTCCCGCCCACCTAGGTTCTTGCTTCACAGTTCACATGCATGTTCTGTACAACACCCCTCTCACCCTCTGAATCAACTCGAACTCTGTGCGGAAAAAATGCTTATGAACTAACCATCACTAAAAATTCACAATTATTTTTCTTCAAAAAAAAAAAAAAAAGAAGAATATGTAGCATGATAGAAAACAATAGAATGCAAGACGTACCCATTTTGCGAATGAGCAGAAAAAGTGATTGTTTTTAAATATTTTTTTTTATGATTGTAATAATTTTTACTGCTGTAAAGATGAAAAGAAAACAGAGTGAAAGAAAAAGGAAAGGGGATTGGGGTGTTGGCCTACGATGAAAGGAACCAGTCGTCATAATAGCAGTGTCTGACTGCTTTTGGCTGAGGGAGAATTGATTCAAAGGACACCATGATGGTGACTATTCATCGCCATTCAGTGACATTTCCAAGACACCCACAAAATATATTTCAAAATTTTAATTCTAATTTCGTATAACCCTCTATTTTCTGTCTCCCCCACCCCACCATTACTACAAAAACTAACCCCAAATGCCTCTTTCTCTCTCTCTTATTATATATTTTTCATATTCTTTCTCTACCTCTATTTTGGACAACCTAAACGGAATCTCTCCCAATAACAACAAAATGACAATCTTTGGAAAATGATCATTCAATTTGATAAGCTAAAAGTGTAGCCAACCCAAGCCCACGCATAACGCCACACCACACCCCTTCTCCTTCAATCATCTAACCAACCAAAAAAATATTACTCAAAAAGATACTAGGAATATAGGGTAAAATGTAGAGTACTAGGCAGGCAAAAGAAAGCAAATGTCTAAGGAATTGGGAATTGCTAATGCACATTCAATACTTGGTCAGAAAAATTCTAGCTTTTTCTTCACCCATTTCGTTAAATTTTTACTACACTTGCTTTCTTTCTTTTCTTTTCCTTTCTTTTTTTTCCCCATTGGAGGAGGCTTCAATTTTCTTTTCTTTCGAGATTCTCATCGGGAAGTGGAGAAAGGGGAAAAAAATAATAACAATAAAGTGACAAAATTAAAGCTTTGATGATCCTTCTTTTTTTTTTTTCCTTTGGGAGGGGGTAGCTGATCTTGATCGGAAGGGAAGGCAGGGCAAAGAGGGGAGTGAAAAAAAAGGAAGGAAAACAAAAAAAAAAAGAAGAGGAAAGAATAGTTGAGAGATGTCAGGAGGGTCTCATAAGACAGTGAAATCCATTCTTCTGCAGCCAATTTTTGGAAGGAATAATCTGCGGTGCGAATCCTGATGATGCTGCAGCAGTTGCAAGAGCTTGAGATGGCCCCGATTGAAGAAGTTGATTATTATCACTTAAAGACAATGATAGATCACTTCCTATTCGGCCTCCATTGCGATTACTGCTGCCCGAAAACTGAATCTTCATCAACAAAACAGCAACAAAAAATAAAAACCAAATCTTTTCTAATTAGTTTTTTCTTTACTCTACTTTCACCACGCATCATCATACAACTATATATATATATATATATGTGTGTGTATACCCACTTGATAATTCAAAGAATTGAGGCTGGGGTTGTGATTGTGATTGTGAAGCAATATCTGGGAGTGGGGCTGATCTCCACTGAATTGGCCGTGTCTTTGCATTTCAAATGAAGCTGGAGATTGAATGTGAGTCTGGCTCAGGAGATGCATTGTTTCACTCTCCAGGTACCTATTAGTATTGTTATTATTTCTTCTCTGTGCATTGTAATTTTTACTTGCACCTCCGCTTGATTCTTGCAACAAATTCAGCTATTAAAGAGAGATCATAGAGACACACAAAAAAAACCTTATAAATTGGAGTGAATAAGGTGAGGGGAAATCTGAAAATTTGATGGGAATTTTGATTATTAACCTGAGGAGGCCTAAATACTTGATGGTGGTTCCGTTGCCACTCGGCTTCCATCGATAGAGGAACAGAAGAAGAATGGTGCGGATCTACGGCGGCATTTGGGCTGTCGTTTTGCTTTGAGCTTGAATTTCCCAAACTCAAATCAAGACTGTGGTCCGTCAAATTGCCAATTGAATCTGTAAAAAATGCCAATACAATAGATCATTATAATCATGTAGAATAAGTTGAACAATTAGTGGCCTAATCTGTGTTTAATTACCAGCTGTGGGATTGAGTTCATTATCGTAGATGCTGGGATCGAAATTGGTGACTGCTTCTTTGCCATTACATTTGATTGCAGCTTTATCGTATGCCCTATCGTTATTATCATCATGCGCACCCGATTAATTAAAATAATTAAAAAAAAAACAAACGACATCAATGGCAGTTTCCGATGTCCAACAACTTCAACCAGAAAAGAAAAAGAACACACCTTGCAGCTTCAATCTCGGTATCAAACAAACCCAAATAGACGTACCTGTAAAATTGAGGTAAATAAAAAAAAAAAAAAAATTGGGGATGGGTTTGTTAAAATGAATTGAATAGGATTAGTTAAAAAGAAAAGGGTAGAAAATGAAAATGGAGGGGAGGGAATACTTTTTGCCAAGAAATTGGCCCATTCGGGCCTCCCATCTTCCACACTTGTGAAGCGTAACACCTCTATACTTGGAGCTTCCTCTGGGGAAGCCAGTGCTTTGTCGGCGAAGTACGTGCACAAATTCTTCCTTTGTTAGATTTCCCATCTGTTTCAATTTTACAACTAACCCAATTAATGGTCAAATTTTTTTCCCCATTCTTTTTATTTATTTAAAAAAAAAAGAAAAGAAAACGAAAAACCAAATATCTCCACTCCAAGCCTGTAATTAACGCAACAAGAGGCAAAAGGCAAAGGCAAAGGCAAAATTGAAGACCAGACCTGTTTTAAATCTTCCTCGTAATCTTCGATGCTGAAGTTTATGTCCGCCTCAACCCCTCGGAATTTAATTGCTGCTCTATCGTAAGCACTGCACAACAACAAAAAGATTTGCCCTTTTTCAATTAAACTGTGTCCGAGTCCGACCCGAGTTTTCAATTAGAAAGAGAGTGTGGTCTCACCGTGCAGCTGCATGTGCCGTGTCGAATCCACCTGTATCCAATTCATTTGATGCGGAGAAACAAAACCAAAACCAATCTCAGAAAATTTTTAACAATTAAAAAAATATCAAACGAAAAGAACCCAATATACCAAACCAAGCATACCGAGATAAACTTGCTTTCCACAATCCCTGCACAAGGCAAGCACCAAAGCCAAAGACAAAGAATTAATTAAAATCAATTAGGATGCAGAATTCCAAAAGCAGAAGTGGGTTTTGGGAACACAAAATTGCAGTAGAGAGAGAGATGATTCATTTTTTCTTTCTTCCTTTTTTTTTAATTTTAAAAAGAAAAGTAAAGAAAGAGAAATTGAGAGTAGGGAGAGGGAGGAGGGACCAAATATGGGACTCCCAGCGGCCGGTCCTGCGGTAAAAAGTGACGCCGCGAAACTGAGAGCTGCGAGACCTGGGTCCCCGGCGGCTCTTCTTAATGGGGTGGGAAAGGTCGGTGGTGGATTTGATGGAATTAGCGGCGGCGAGAGGATCGGGATGGCAGAATTTGACCCCGACCCAGTGAGCCCGAGGGAAGGCGGAAGCAGTTGTAGGAGGCGGAGCAGCAGTAGAGTCCTGGAGTGGAAAGAACTGGCGAGTGACGGGGCCGGGGCTTGGGTCGTCAATTTCCATGGACCCGTATAGCTCCTCCTCATCGGATCCCTCCTCGAGAAGCAGCGCCGAGGAACTGGAATTGGAAACGGATCCCCCCCATCCCACTCTTTTCCCCTTCTCCTCCGACGTCTTCGGGGACCAACACGCTTCGGCTTCGGCTTCAGCTTCCGATTCATCGCCTCCCCTCTCCTCTGGACAATCGTTGAGATCCCACATTCTTTCTTTTTTTTTCTCCAACACAGGCAGTCGGAGGAGGAGTTTTTGATTTTTGGTGGGCTTACCCGAGAGCGTCACACCCCATCCTTAATACCCTTCTTTCAAAATCCGCTCTATAATTCACCCTCTTTCTCTCTCTCTCATTTTTTGTTTTTATTGGTTTGCCAGATAAATTTATAGAATTTGGAAGAGGAGGGGAGGGGCAAATTAAAATCTTGATAAGAAAAATCCTAAAATTTCTCTTCTCCGGCCTTACCTTTGCATCTACCAACTTCCTCGTTTCTTTTTTTTATTCGTGGGTTCACAGCAAAACTAAACATTACATAAGAGAGAGAGTAAGTGAGAGGGGGCAAAAGAAAAAAGAACCATCTCTTTCTTACACAACTTTCCCACGTTAGCCAAATCGAAAAGCTTTTCTCTCTCTCATACTCCATCTGCGTTACCCAATAATGGAAATAGACAGTGGAAGGACTAAGAAAGATGGCTAATTACTCAATTTCCTAAAATATCTACTTAATCATTCATCATTCACCTCAAAACTCACTTCCTATTACACTCTTCCAAATTCATACATTTCTCATATCTATACCATCTCTCTTCTCCTCTCTTCCCCTCCCTTTTTATTTTTACCTCCCACTTTTAATTCAACTCTAACTATTTTAAATATGGTTTACTCCAAAATAATAAAAATAAAAAAACAATTTGTAAACATGTCACTGTTATTTTAAGTCCAAGCATTAAATACAAATCTTTAAAAGTTGAAAAGACTCAACAACATATATGCACACATCTATTCGTGCTAGACGTCTATTCGTGATTTACATTTATCAATATATAAGTGATAAATGTAAAAATATTACATCAGTGACATATGAGGCTAAAAAAAATTTACTTAAAATTTTTTAAATAGGCAGGTAAAAAAATTACAAAGGAAATTATCATATTTGTTAAAAGAATAAAAATATAAAAATTCAAGACAAATTTGTAAATATGACTACCAATCTTTGCTCTGGATTATAATTTTCATATTTAAAATGAACAAAAAAAATTGATCTTATATTTTTGTAATCTTAATTTTTTTTTTAAAGAAGTTCTAGCTTTAACATAAAAAACATGCTATACTAAAAAAAACATTAAAAACATAATAGATGGTTTCTTGGATCATTTATTGAAAAGATTTTTTTAAAATTGATGTGCTATTAAATTACTTTTCATTACATACTTAGGCGAATAGACATAGTATCGAAATATTACTTGAAAAATAAAACACAATTTGTCAATCAACAATATCTTATTCACTCATTAATAATATCTATTTGTTCTAAATTAATATGTTTTAATATAACAATAATTTAATCCTTAAAAAAAAGCACAGATCAATAATTTAATCATACATCTTTTTTTTTCTTTTGTAAACAAATTTTAGTGGTTTCAATTTTACAAAAACGACTGTTTAAGAATTTCTAAAAGTTTTAATGAATTACTTAAACGATTAGACAGCCCTTCATATATTCAGCAAAAGATGAGAAAAATAATGATCGACTTTATAATAAAACAAAGTTACTTTTTACTTTTTCTTTTATAATACTTGTTGATTAAACGCATATAATTATTTAAATATTAATTGATATAATTATAAAATTATTTGTTACATGTTTTTACTCTCTAAGACGTGTCTTAGAGATTTTTGTTTTCTTAATAAACTTCGTTAAAAGGAAGCTAGACTGCCATCAAGGCCACATATCTTAGAGACTAGTACCATAGCATAATATATGTATTTTTAAATATGACAGAAAGTTATAAAGTTTATAAAAATAACCTATTCTAAATCAAACTCAAATTTAAATCTAGGACAAAAAGTTAGAAATTTTATAAAAATAACATATTCTAAATCAAACTCAAATTTAAATCTATCATAAAACACGTTAGGAAAAGAAACATTTATGTTATATTAAAAAATTGAAAATTTGTGATATTTTTTAAAATACATATTAAAACTTATTAATAAATCTTGGATTTTGTAAAACGAGGTGTTTTTGAGATTTCTGATAGTTTTTGTCGGCTTTTTTTAGCTAGTTTTATTGTTTTTAGTATTTATTTCTTAGGCAGGAGTTGAATTAATAAGAAGAGAAAAAAAAAATCAAGAAGTGATCCAGTTTCAACATGTTGGACGACTAGGCACTCCAAACTAGAAGCAGAACTCAAAGGTGACAACGCCTACGAAAATGAAGCATTTTTAAATTCATGCGAGGCACTGAAATAATTGGGCTCTTAGTCGCTACGAATAGAATCTGTTTAAATGTTTCAATTTAACATAGGTGACGAAACTTTAAAAAGAATGGAGGTTCCGACTAAAAGACATTTGAGAGAGCAAAGTTGGAGATTTTAAGAGAAACGGAAAGAACACGAAGAACGGAGACTCGAGAGATCGCTAGATTTTTTTTTTACTACTTAAACCTTCACCAATGTTATTGATTAAGGTTTTTTTTTTTTGGATTGAAATAGGAGCTAAATAGTTTTTTTATAGAGCAATATTAATGTAGTGTCTCTTTCGTTTTTAGTCGATTTCTCTTCTAAATTTTGATTGGTTGTAAGAACTTTTCTGCTTCATTGTTTGAATTTGACCAACATTTACATTGATTCTTTGTCATAAATCGAGGTTGAAAAACAAGATTAGAACCGTTATTGCTTGAGAAAAAATAATATGAAAATGTCAATTTACCCCTCCCGTTGATGTCGAACCCATGAATACATAGAAATATCGATAGAAATGTCAACGATTGACATATCGACGGATATTTAATATATATTATATGGAGTTAACCAAAAAAGTTAAAGAGAAACTTTTTATCCCATGATATAGGTGATACTATAAAATTTCATGTCTTTGCTACCCGCCCTAGTTTATATTAGTTATAGTTTTAACTTAGTTATAAATTATAAATTCGTAGTTTGCCTAGATTTTCCTTCCCGTACTATACTTTATTACTCTCAAATCTCAATGGACCCTCAGTACTGATGAGTAATATCAAATATAATGAAAATTCATATAAAGTTGGTATAGATTGGCATGATTTTACCGTAATGAAAATATCCTTTAAACATCCATTAAAGGTGCACGAATACCATTTAAAGTTTTAAAAAATTGAAATTGTAACCTTGAAAATTGAGAAAAAATTTCAACTTTAATGAAAGTCCCCAGTCCCCTCTTTTGATGTTTGGACGGTCAGTGTGTTTGTTGTTATCTGAATGCTTGAGTGTTTTTGTTGGTTTGTTTTGGCAGGTATGTTGGTATGAAGATATTCAGAGAGAGAATGATCTCGAGTTGACCACTTACCCTGTTGTGCCAAAAGGAACTATAAGCGGACTTAGCTGCTAATCTGCTAGCCATTTACCAGTATTTCCTCTTCTGCTTCTGTTTTTGGGTCAAATTAGAGTTTGAAGTTGAAAGCTATTTTATTTAATTTTGGAAAAAAAATAATTCATCTTTGTCGGTACAATAAAAGTTTATATCTAACATTTGATCACTTGTGTATTAAAAAATTAAAATAAAATAAAATAAAAACATGTGATCACTTGTACCATAAAAATATATCTCAAACTCAAACTCAAATTATGACTCACCTCAGTGGGTTATTTTGGTGGGTGATCCAAAAAAGAAAAATAATAAATAGTAAAGATTTAATAAAAAAAAAATAGAGTTATATTTCATATTTACGGTGTTTTTAATATATTGTAACAGATTTGGAAATTGAATATCAATTTTAAAAATTATTACAATTGTGTTTGATAATATATATGTAAACTAGTGATAACTGAATATTTAATCCAATGTAGAATATTTCTAATTACTTTATCAACATATGTTATAAATTTTGTGTAATTATTATTTTATAATATTATATAATTTATAATATATTATTTTACATTATACATGTTTTAATTTTAACAAAAATAATTTTTAAAATATAAAAATGTAATTTTCAAAATTTCTACTAGAATTAAAAATAGTTTTAAAAATCAAATCAGTGAATAAGATATTCACTGAACCCATTTGATTAGGTGAATTTGAAAATCAAAAACAAAATATGAATTTCATACAAAATACTAAGACAAGGTAAAATCATAGTACTACGAAGTAAAATGATGCATAGATAAGGTGATTGTGGATTAGATCATGTCGTTTCTTATATCAGAAATGTCCTTAGTGATTTGAATGAAGAGTTATGATATAACTGACATGGTTGTAGTTGTATCATGTCGCTTATTAATAATTTCTCTATTTTTTTCTTTATTTAGAAAAATAAAAAAAATATTTTTTAAGTTCAATAAAGTGAAGGAATTTAGTACTAAAAAAAGCGGAGGAATTTAAACTTTCGACTTTTAATAATGCCTTATCCGTTAAACAAATCTTTGCTCCATGTCATTTCTTGTTTTAGGTATAAAATGTCGAAATTGTATTGGTTTGACCATAAAAAATATTGTTTCTAAAATTTGTATGATCTTTTTTCTTTTTTTTGAGTACAACATATGAGGGTGAAGATTTCGAACTTATGACCTTTTAGTCAAAGATAGGTGTCTTAACCATTTGAGTTATGCTCGGTTTGGCAAAATTTGTACGATCTTGTAAATATATATATATATATATATTTTCCTAAATAACTTTTTGTAAAAAAGTAGGAACTAGGCGCATATTACCAAATAGACGATAAATAATCAAGTTGCTCTATATTATTACTTTAATAAACAATTGAGAAAATAATTGTTACGAGAGAACACCTGACTAGTTGAAAGTTAAAGAAAATAATAAATAAAATAAAAACTTTTAAGACTTCATTTTCTGTGACATGCTATGAAATTCTTAGTTAAACCATTAGGATAGTTATTCGTATCACTTTTTTTTTTACTTCAATCAAATTTAATTTCTTAAAAAGTTAAAACTTACAATAAGATCTTGTAACACTAAAAATCAAACTATAAGTCATTAAAGTATATACAGAAAATGAGTAAATTAAAATTTAGGAATATCTATAATTCATAAATCTTTTACTAGTTTTAATAAATTAATTTAAAGTTGAATTAATTATTGGAAATATTAAATTTTATTTTTAGTACAACATGTAGGGGTGAGAAATCGAACTCACAATTTCTTAGTTGGARATACATGTTAATTACCACTTAGCTATGTTCGCTTTGACAACTAAAATGAAAGTTAGACTATATCATATCATCGTTGAATTACATAACCAGTTGTACTTTTAACATATAGTGTTAATTCTTTTAGAAAAGTGTGCTTACTAATTATTTAGTTAACTTCTCACTTTATTTACTAAAAATAATAATAAAAAACTCTCTCACTTTTATTA